AGAGAGAGAGAGAGAGAGAGAGAGAGAGAGAGAGGCACTGCTAATGTCTCTTCCATATTATGGTTGGAGATACACAGAGAAATATTTGTTATTGAAGAACTTTGCTGATTAAGGTGCCGATGATAATGAATATGTCATTACAATAAAATAAAGTATGTATGTTAAGTCGGTGGACAAGAAATAAACAAATAAGCAGGGGCTAAGTAACCAGATAAATAAAATAAAATAGGAAAAGTTAGAAACTTCATTACAGATAAGAGGTGAACAGAATGATAATTAAGCAAATAGTTTTGAAGATTTTGTAGTTAAAATGAAAATAAAAGATCTTTCACAAAATGTACCACTAAGTAAATTCATAGTATTATTATGAGAGTATTATTTAAATGTGCAATTTTAGTAATAGAATGCAAATGTTCCTGCTTATATATGAATTAAGAATAGAGGAACATTGGAGTGTGTTCCTTAGATAATATAAGAAAACCATTTTCCTAGATGAGAACATATATTTTTAATATAACATGACAGTGAATGAGTATGACTTTCTTGAGAAAGTATCATCTATAGTATCATCTCCTCACTTCTCACTATTATTTACTTTCTGTAACATTCACAAACCTCTAATCTGAGAAACATATATGTACGTATCCTCTGTAACTATAACAGTTCCTTGCACAAAGAATGCTCTTATCACGTATCTGAGGGATAAATTGAACCACAAAATAAGAAAAAGATTTGCTAAATGAATAAGACATTTGAAATAATATGGAAAAACTCAATAATTATATTGATTTATTTATGTCTTTATTTATTTTAAAATCTTTCTAAAAATTGATTTATGTATTTGGTATAGTGTCTCACTATGCAGCCTGTACTCATAGTGATCCTCCTGTATCAGCCTCTCCAGTATTGGGATTACAAGCATGTGCCCCTACATCCTGTGTTGGTGGCCCACATGGTGTGGGGGACAGCATGGCATGGGATCAAACCCTGGTTCTTGCACTTGCTAGGCAGGTGCTTAGACCACCAAGATATCTCCTCTGCCAGATCATATTTTATTATGTACTGAAACATGGAATATTGAAATGAATGTTAAATACTGAATAAATGTTAGATATATCTTAGTTAACTTAGGAATTTATATATTTAATATACTATACACTTAATGAACTGCTCTATTGGTTTGAGTTATAACTGACTCTAAAGAAATGTCCTAAATATGTAGCCCTAATTAAGGAACTGATACTCTTCAGTAATAAAGAAGTACCTGAATTGTTTGTCCACTTTATTCCCAGATGTAAATCTGTATACGAAGAGAAGACTTAAAGTCCAACTTTTGCGTGGAGTCTGGCATTATGAGAATTTTCTGCTAGGTTGTTTATGCTTGTTGTGCAAGTATATTCACAAGGAGTATCATAGTTTAATTTTTGGTAAAATGATATGGTGGATCATTTGAGGTACCTAAATTCTTCATCCATATTCAAATATATTCAATCTAGAGCAAAAGTTGTATTTGAAAGGAAGAGCAGTACTGACAATAATAAATAAGTATAAAGCAAAGTATGAAAAAGTTAGCTAGTTAGGAAATGTATCTTGAAGAACTCCAGAGAATCCCATCAGGATTAAAGCCTATTGATACATTGTCCATAAAACATTTCCCACTAAGATATTTCAGACCATTATAAACATTCAAATACATGAAAAAAACAACTTCTATAGATGTCCAGAAAACTTGTTTTTAGAATTTTTGTGACCTAAAAGAGAAATAATATGAAGTAGAAGACTGTTGCTTATTTTTGTTAAACACTAAGCTAAGTACTGTAAGCCAAATACTTCATCAACTCTATAAGGAAGGTATTATTTTTCACCAGTTAAAAGTACCACAAATAGGTTTATGAAATCAGACACATTACCAAAAGTCATGCAAATCACAAGTACCTACGGGAGGAATTCAAGCCTGAGAATTTTTATACCATAACTCATGTTGCTAACCATGGTACTTCATACATGACCATATTGACTTAAAATTATGAAGCACAAGAAAACTAACTGACTTCCAAAGTCTTGCATTTCCCATTCAGCCTGGTGCAAAGCCACTGGTAGTTGGTGGTAAGAGTGTCAAGTTCCTTTTTTAAGGCCTCTTGTGCTGCAGGTGGAGCTTGGGCTATGACACTATTCACAGTCTCAGTAAGGAGTTGCACTTTTGTTTCCTTCTGCTGGGCCTCTTCCTTAGCTCTCTGAAAAATAAAAGCAGTGCTTTGAGAGTAGTCATTGCCTTTACTTCAAAAACGAATTCCTATATACCATATAATTTCTTCTCATACAATTCCTGTGAGGATGCAATTCATAAAGCAAAATTCATACTAACTCTAAACCCTTACATAAATTTTGATTTACTTATAGTTGGAGAAAATGTATAATTAAATATATTTTTAATGAAAAAAGTTTCATTGGTAGTCTACACAGGATGCATTTGTGGCTTATTAGGGATATATCAAAATAAAATATTAAAAGGCGAAAATAAGTACTTAATACTAGCTAAGTTATAAAGGGTTTAGTAGTCTATAACTAAAATCACTTATAAGTTACTCTGATGAGTAATTGTGAAATAAACCCAAATAGCAGCATTTAAATAAAAAATTCTTAACTAAGAAAAATGCCCCTAATTCTATATTTAGAATTCTATTTAGATGAAAGAAAGTTCTGCTCAGTCATTGAAAACACATGAGACAAATAGAAAGTAAAACATTAACATTAAGCATTAATTAAACATTTCCACAAACCAGCCGAAACCCACAGTACAGCTGTCCAAACCATCCTGATTACGTATATAGATATATGTTTCCCCTACTCCTTGTCCTATCCTTCTTTTTTGTTCTTTATTCATTCTTTTCTTTTTTCTTTTCTTAATTTCTTATAATTTGTTTTTCTTTATTCTTCCAATTTTTCATGCATATATCTTTTAATATGAACAACTAATTTGAAGAGAACACTAGGCAATAGAACAAATACCCTCAAATGCATATCATTTTGCTTAGTGAAATTGGATCATCTGTAATTTATTCTGTTGTAATAATATTATGTACTGTCTTTAAAAATTAAAAAAAATTAAAGAAAAAAAAGAAAGAAAGCAAAAGAGAGAAGCAGCTCCTGGTATCTGAAGCTGGCCTGACACAACCATGGCCTTGGTCTTCTGTAGATCATAATTGTTTCACAGTTTGTTGAGTAAAGGCCACTTTGATACTAGGGTGTTTTCAAAACAACAGCAATGACATACGGGCATGGTGGCATGTGCCTGTAATCCTAGAACTTGGGAGCCTGAGACAGGAGGATCTTTGAGAGTTTGAGATGAGCCTGGATTATACAGTGAGCCCAAGGCCAGCCTGAACCATATAGCAAGACCCTGTCTAAGAAAATACAAGAAAAAAATGAGCAAGATCTCTGTGTAGGATAAGATGCCCATTCATGGTGGTACTAATAGTCATTAAAAAGCTTTCAAATTTTTCTTCCAATCCCCTACCATAAACCTAAATTATATTGGTTCTTCTCTTACTCATAGAACCTCTAGTTCTCCCGAGTGTATATTCTTTTGATTTCAAAAAGCAAATAGCTCAATTTGTTTACCTAAAACACAATTCCTGGTGTTCTTTAGCTTGTGTTGAGCTGGACATTTCTTCTAGTATGTGCATATATTTTAGAAACACATACCATGTGTCTTTAGCTTGGGTTTGAAAAAAGTGAAACTTTGACACAGCCTATATAGTTAATGTGCATGTCCTATGTGAAGGGCATACTGGTAGTATAATGAAGAATGGAGACAGGAAAGAAAAAAGAGATATAAATAACATTAATTATAATCTCCACTTTATGACTGGAGTTCATTCCAATTAGAAAGTAGCACAGCCCTTAATGTTGTCCCATTTAGGCATGAGAAAGTTGAGCATTAATGTACACATAATCTCCTATCATTGGCCACCAACCACAGAGGAAATATTTATTTCCTCCAGGTGGGAAAGTGGAATTTGAGCTCTAAAGAAAGCCATTAGGTTGGGGCCAGGAAGATAGCTCAGTAGAATAAGTACTTGCCCACAAGGGCCTGAGTTCAATTCCTGGTTCCAAAAAAAAAAAAGAAAGAAAGCCATCAGGTTTAGAAATGCAGATTTGGGCTGGTGAAAGTTGGGCCTGCCAATAATGTAGCAGGAAGAATTAGGGAGCATGGGCAGGATATGAACAAGGGTGAACCATAATTTGCTTTTAAATTTTCAACATAATCAGCCTATCTTTTAGATTTTGTATACTCATTCATTTGTGATGGCAAGTGCCATTTATTTTAACTACAAACAATTTGCCTTTACTGATTTCAATTTTATTAATTGAAATTTTAGTTTAATATTATAAATAAATCAATTTTGGCATTACTGAGCAGGAAGTGTGTACTATACAAGTAGTATTTTGACTGTAGTAATTCTAACATTATCAACAACTGTGACAGCCATTAATCACTTCCCATGTTGCTCTGTGTTATTTCAGTCATGCCGAATTACCACCTCATGGGATTCTTTATAAAAACTTCACATACACGTGTTTTGTTATTTTAAACATCAGAAAATTGAGATTCCTAGAATTTAAGTAAGTGGTTGTGGATATTATTTTTTTTCTTATAGTTTTTAATTCCACCTCAAATCCTCAAGGAGATGAGGAAGAAATGTGCTGTAGTGGACCCAATAAATACAGTTAAAACTCTTACAAATTATAAGAAGTGTGTACATGTATCTAATGACACAGAACAAGGACCACTGCTTTCCTTATCTCTTTGGTTTTCTTTTGTTCTTCTATTAAATCAGCCTAAGATGCTGGAAAGCCTCAGAGAAGAGAGCAAAATTTAGTAGCCCAAGTTGATATGAGGAAAGAAGATCATGATGAGTTTCTTTAATGTGAGTAAAGGTGGAAACGCTAAATGGACAATACAGTTGATCTTCATAAAAAATAATGGCTCTGGCTCTCTTTCTTTCCATGCATTTAACCATGCCCTTTGCAGACATACTTCACTAACAGTATACTGAGCTAGTGCTTCTCAGAGCATGGAACTTAATCCTTGGCATCACTAGGAGACTTGATAAACCTCAGGTACCACTGTAGAATTATGGAATCCCACATTCTATAGGGGAGGTCAAGCCATCTACTCTAAACAGTTCCTACACTTGAATCTGATGAACATGAAAGTGCAAAAGTCACCATTCCAATGATGTTGTTTTGTTTGTTTGTTTTGTTTCTTGGACAGAGTCCCACTGTGTAGTTCAGGCGGACTTTATCTCACTGTGTACCACCAGGGTGGCCTCAAGCTCTCAGGGATCTTTCTAACTCAACCTCAGAGTGCTAGGATTACAGGTGTGTGCTACAGGCCTGAACTCTGCTCTAGTGATTAAACTAATGTATTCACATATTTATTACTTTCATTATATTTTTAAAATTTGTTAAGCCCCAGAGTAGCATAAAAAAATCAAACAGGAACAACAGTTAAAATTCAAGTTTTTTGAGGGCCAGGAGATGGCTCAGTAGAACAAGTGCTTCTTTGGCAAGTGTAAGGGTCTGAGTTCAAAGCCTGGTTCCACAAAAAAAAAAATTTGAACGGTTTTGTCATAAAAGTTCAGGATATAGTCATTTCTGATCTCCAAATCTTGAAGTCTGATAGGTGTTGCCTATTGAACACCCCTTGCCATTTTGTTATGTCAATAGGAATGTTTGTTTACACAGGAAAATAAGTTATCAGCATAGCACTGTAATTTTCAAGTAAAACATGAAAGGCAATAAAGAAACAGAAGGTAGTTTCTACTTTTTCTCTGAACAAGTCAGGGAAGCATGTCAAAGTAGAGCTGTTGTTATCTTCTGACAATAAAGATAAATCAACATTCAAACTTAGAAGAAATGGATGTCTGGGAAAGGTATTATTATTATGTACTAGGAAGTAAAATTGACCTAAAGGGACTGACTCTGACCATTGAGCAGAAAATGCAAGAAATGGGATCTACCCAACAGCTCCTTTGGCTACTCCTGCCAGAGGCACCCCAGGCATTTTCTCTTTTAAATATCATCCCATAAGATACCAATTTTGCAGCTAGACTGATTGCTTGAACATTTTAAACAATGTGAACAAATTCATTAGACTATTCATTTCTGGGATTGTTTTCAAAATTTTCAAATATGAGACACATTAATTTCTATCCCTGAAATATAAAAAAAATTCTGACTGGATTGTAAACCACATAGACCAACTTCTCAAGGAGAGAGAGAAAATGGTCATAGGAAGGACTGAACTAAACATAGGAACTCAGTGAGAGGCAGAGCAAAACTGGACCTAAGATGGCTAACAACTTTCTACTCAGTGACCTGAGCAGGGACTATAGTCTAGAATAGTAGAAAACAGAGAGAACAGACCTTTGGGGCTTTATGGTATGCAGGGAAAGTCCACACGGATGATACACAATTCACAATTTATAAATAAAATAGCAAAATAAATTAAGATGGTAGAGTTCAGAATAGCATGGGATAAAATACCTTCAAGACAGATAAAACTTGTAACTATGGCTATATTATTTGACCTACTACATCTTGGGATTGTGCTGTTCTCAGAAGAAAAAGTACACTTGACATTACTTGCAAACTACTGTCTAACCTCCACATGCTGGTATAATTTTACTCAGAATGACCTCCCATCATCAAGTTTAAAATCACTGTCGCCCCTTATTAGAAATCTCCAACTGGCTTCTTCATTTCTCTTAGAATAAAACTTTTAGCAATAACTGCAAAACTCCTGTGTTAAGGAATATTTGTCCACTGCCTTAAGCTCATCTTGGGTAACTTACGCTCTGTTTTTGTCCCGTTGTGCTTGCACAACTTATTTTCATGTTTTTTTTCCTCATGATTCAGTGCTTCAGATTAAATATGTCCCTCATAAATATCTCAAAAGTCAAATGTTTCTATCACCTCACCATTCCCATTACCTTACTGAACACAAAACTCATGATTTTGTATTTTTAAAATCTTGTTTGATTTTTTAAGCAGATTTTCATGAACTTAAATAGTATTACTTGTTTCTCCAGTCATTGCCAATTTCCATCCTCCAATACAATACAAATTCTAAGAAAGCAGGTAGAGGATTTATCACTATAATTTATATCTAAATGGTATTACATTCATTAAATATACAGTAAGTATGTGCATGAATAAATGCATGATACATGGTACTGCCAGACTAAAATGTTTTTGTAGTTTTTAATATCCTAGAATACTAAAATTCAATCTTTCTTAGACATTTTAATTTTTTTTCTAAATTGACTAAGGCCGTATGACATTTAAAATTTGAACATGTGAGCTTTCATCTCAGCACTTTGTGCTATTAACTATAATAAACATTCTTGAATAATAATTACATAAATTATATGATAATGTATACTGAATTTCTTCCTATGCAACGCTGATGATAATTGTAAAAATAACTATCAACTCTGCAATACCGAACTTGTCTTGGGCACTGTAATAGGACTTTTATGTTTCATTTAAACATTTTTGAAAAGAAAGCATTCTGAGACCAGGTTCAAAAATGAAGAAATCGAAATGAAGTGTATTTATGTGTCTCACCTATTATGGTTACACAGGCTAAGGAGCTAGATCATGTTTCAAACCCAAGAATTTGGTCCAGATTGATTTTGTTATGTCATGAGGCCTTAAGCCTAACCTGTATCTGTGAATATTTTATATAGCTTAGTATGATTAAATTGTATGTTTTAGTTTCTGCATAAAAATAATAGTTATTATTACAACTAAAAATAATTGAGTGCCTATACTGAGCAAGGCATTTTCAATATGTATGTTTCAAGCCTCAGTTCACACAGTAAAGTTTGGGAGTATGATGGTATTTTTTATGATGGTATTTATATGACAAAACTAGAGGATTATGTTGATGACTGAGTTGCCCTGGATCAGCCAAAAATCCCCATATGTACCATCAACTCCAAGTCTCTGGTCTAAGTTCATGGTAGTTTAAATGGAGAGATACTTGAATGTTTATTTGTTCATGAACTCTGTCCTAAATAAATGTATTTATTATCCCATTATTTTAAGATATGTACATGTAAATCCAATCCTTCTAAATCCAATAAGTATCAATGACTACTTGTTAAAATATTCAGCACTTTCAAATGCCAAGAAACCCATTTAAGGTACAAAGTAACATGGCATCTCACTACATTTTAAATTTCCTATTCCAGAAGACTTAGTCATATTTTCAACTTGAATTTGCAACAGCTGCAAAAAGCTAATGTGATCAGCTGATTCTAATTGTTAACATTATATATAATTTCAATAGAAATTATATTTCAAACTGTGATTGCCAATGTTTATATTTTGACTACAGTGCATTAAAATTAATTTACATTTTATAACTTTACAATATACAATATATCAAAGTTTGAGTCAAAATTAATTAAAAATCAACCTGTACTATGAAACCTAGAGAAAGCAGATTTTGAAGAATCAGTTTTAAGCAATGTTGTATTTATTTCCTTTTATTTTCCTTTCTCTGTTGTTTGGTTTATCTTACCTTCATCTCTTCAACTGCTGTCTGTAATTCATCTGGAGTTTTATATTCAAAATCTCTCTCTAGATATTCTTCTTCAGCTTGGGTCATCCATTCATGCATCTCTGACAGATCTTTCTGGAGGCTTACAGTTTTATCCAAACCTCCCTTTAAGGCTTCCTTTCTGGCACAAACCTTCCATAAAACAAGCAAAGAATGCATTTTGGAACAGATAGTAAATTAAAACCACATCATTGAAAAGTCTATAAATAATAGAATTCTTAGAGGATAAAGATGAAACAAGAATTTTATATGCATAAGAAAAATAACTCATGGAGATTAGATACACTTAATTTCACACAAGTATAAAAATAAGGTATATAAA